TTAAGAATTGATTGCATCACGCAACCAAGGTATAATCAGATGGCATCTGAAAACAAGTTACATTCAACAAGCATTTGTAATGCAGTAATTTAACCCTATCTAGCTGTAATTTTGATATAGGATACTGACAAGTAATTTTAACCACTTAATTTCCAATTAACCTTTTCGTAACATAATAAGCAAGATGGCTTCAAGAAAAAAGAAAACCATATTCCAATCCTTTTGGAACTGCTTAACTTTTGTTCCTACCAAATCACTTCTTTTTGTATTTTCTGTATAATTGTTAATTTTTTAAATAAATACCTTATTTTTTTTAAATGTTGGAAAAAATGGATCTATCAATGTTGGTTAACCAAGATGTTCATGGTGTCCCCTAAATCTTCTGCCCAAACTAAGCAAATGTCAGCTAAACAAACTAAGCAAATGCCCGTGGTGCCTGCTAAATTTTTAACCGTTTCAATGTTGCAGTGTTGGTTAAACAAACTTGGAGATTAGTGTCAAATCCCGAGTCTCTGTTATATAAAATCTTAAAAGCTAGGCAGTTTCAAAATGGAAATTTCAGGTTACCGCTTATGCGATACGTAACTAGCTATGCATGGAAAAACTTACTTGAAAGTGGGAATTTGTTGGAGGAAGACCTTAAATGGAGAGTTGGGAATGGTCAAAACATCCCAATCTGGACTGCAAAGTGGTTGCTGAATCAAATTGGCGGCAGAGTGTGCACTGCAAGATCCCTGATTTCCCTGTTGCTCTAGTTGCAGATTTGATATACCCACAGGACCCGAAATGGAGGACAGACATTATTAATAATTGGTTCTTGCCACAGGATGCTACTTTGACTAATAGAATACAGCTAAAAAGAAGACTACCTGTGGACAAGCTTGTATGGGTACATGATGCTTCGGGTGAATACGCGGTGAAATGTGGATACTATCAAGCATGGTATAAATGCTGCAATGGAAGTAGTGGAACTTTTATGAGTGCTGATATAGTCCCCTGGAAACAACTGCGGGCTGCCCCTGTCCTATCGAGAGTGAAACACTTGGTATGGAGATTATCAAGAGAAATATTATCTGTGCGGTATAGATAAGGCTAAAAAGGCATGCAGATAGACCCTATTTGCCCTATGTGTGGGGAGCCAGATGAAACTACCGACCCCTTGTTTTGATCCTGTGATTATGCAAAAAGATGTCGGAGATTCAGCCCCTGCGAGGTGGTCTCCTACAACCACAAGGATTCTATATCTGGTTCAAGGATGGCACCACAAGGATTCTATACCTGGCTCAAGAATGGCATCACTTCCCCCTCAGGGGAAGTGTGGTTCAGGGTCCTCCTTTGAGGCATACAATGGGTAAGAAACCAATGGCTTCATCCTGATAAATGATATAATCCTCTTGCTTTAATTCAGAAAGTACAAGGTATATTACCGAGCTAGAGTATGTACATGATGAGAGTCGCTCAGCAAGATCAATCCCAGACTAAAATAATGCACAAAGGTGAGAGGAGATAAGGTCGTCACCATTACTGAATGAGTTAGGAAAAATCAATGCTGAATTCTCTATTAGAAAAGATGAGTAGACAGTGGACAGGTCTTCGGTTCATTTGTAGAGGATCAACAGAGAAATACTTTTCTCAGGTATACGTAGAATACCAACACCTACTTCCGTTGAACTTGAAGACCTTCCTCCTACATCCCTACCCAATTCTTATGTTTGTGTCTTAAGACAATCTTTTATTTACTTTTCATCTTTTTGGTTTTCTAGATATACTGAGAGATTCATAGATGGAATTATTCGCATAACATGATTACCCAAACATAGTACATCAACAAAGCAAGAACATTCGTAAATTAATATACTCACTACAATTCTATCAAAATGAATTACCGTAAGAAAGGCCAAAAAACCAACTTACCCTCCGCGACAATCCTCAAGCCCTCCTCCAATTCCTCCTTGGACCCGAAAACCCGAGACACAAGTCCCATTTCTTTCGCCTCTGTACCCGAGAAACTCCGACCAGTCAACGCCAACTCAACGGCGTTACCATGCCCAACAATAAACGGAAGCCTCTGGAGCGTGCCCAGATCTGCCGTGATCGCCAGGTCGACCTCCTTCACCGAGAAGAACGCGTCCCTTGTGCAGAATCTTATGTCACAAGCGGTCACGATATCAACTCCTCCACCAATACACGCTCCATGGATACCTGCGATCACAGGCTTGCGACAAATCTCGATAGCGGTGATTGCAGCCTGCATATATTTGATCTCCCGCCGAAGCTTTTCATTTGAGCGGCCGCGGTCTCCTGAAAGGGACTCATCGAAGATGGAGGATAAGGTCTTGAGGTCGATTCCGGCGCAAAAGTGGCCACCGGCTCCGATAAGAACGATGACGTTGACATCAGGGTTTTGGTCGAGGGCCGAGAGTGCTGTAGGGAATTCGGTAAAGAACTCACGTGACAGCGCGTTGCGAAAAGATGGTCTGTTTAGGTATATGTAAAATACTGGAGAGTTGGGGGTTTTTTGAACAATTTGTAACGTTTTGTATTTCTCCATGGGAGGACTGGTGCGAAGAAACGAAACGGCAAAAAGTGAGAGAGAAAAGTGGAAATGAGGTGGATAAATTGAGGAAAAAGATAAACAGGTCCTACCGGGAGTCGAACCCAGGTCGCTGGATTCAAAGTCCAGAGTGCTAACCACTACACCATAGAACCGGATGATATCAGATTTTCTGATAATAAAAATAGTAAAAAGTATACAGGTTTGAGCTTCCTTTTCATTTGGTTGCTAAATGACAAAAACATACAAGGAAGAGAGAGGGACAGAGAGAGGTGTGATTAGAGAGGGTGAAAGAGACAATAAATCAGAGCTCAAATTTGAGATGAAAGATATGAAAAATTGAAGATAATTGTGAGTTGTAGTAGAGAGAAAATTTTCGTAAAAAAAAAAAAAAACATTAAAGTAAAAGATGAGAGTTTTCTAATAAAATAAGAGAAAGTTTGTCGAGAACGAAGAGAGCCAAAAATGGTGTTTTTGATGGAGAAATAGAAAGTGGTTTTACTTATAAAGTTCATTAGGGTTTAAAATATAAGATAGATTTCAAGTAAAAAAAAATATTTAATTAAAATCTATATCTGATCAGATTAAAAATAAGTGTCATGAAAGATGGTGACGATATTTTCTAAGAGGAATAACTTAGTTCGTTAATTTAAAGATTGAATAATAAATACTAAATATATGTTGATCCTTAAATAATTGTTGATAATATACTTCAAGTATAAGAGTAAGTCAATCTAGTTGGATCTAGTAATTATGTATTCTGTGGTATACCCACTAGCTTTGAAATAGCGAAGATGGAAATGATAAAAAAAGATATAATATTTAGAGGAGAAAGATCAAACTATTATAAGGGGTGAATGTTGAGGGGAGGGTTCTTAGATTATTTTTATTTATTTTTGGTATCTAACTCGAATTTTCTAAGATATTCAAGATGTCAACTATTACTAAGTATGATGGGACAACGTATTCGGAAGTATATTTAAAAATGTGACAAATGAAAATGATAAGATATATTTTTAATTCTAAAATAATCATTTATTATTTTTAAAATAATTTTACAATTACACTTACGAAAGAATGTAATAATATTACATGTGAGGTATCTCATCTTATACATAAGGAATCTTGTTAAATATATTTATTTTAAATTAAAAAAAAAAAGATGAATTTTTAACGTACTTTAAATTAAAAAGAAAAGAAAGATAAAAAAAAAATTATTATGTGAACTATCACACTAATCTTTTGATCGGAGAACTTTATAAAATTTGTTTAAATCCTATTATTGCAATCTCATTGTAAGATAAAAACATGATATAACTACGATTATCTTTTTACGAGTTAAGGAGTCAATTATTATGTTGTAATTATTTTAAAATTATCAAAATTGAGAAAACAATTCATCAAGTACCTTTCTTATTTTTTAAATCTACAAACCAAAGTTTAAAGATCATGCATACTTATACCCTATCAAATTGCTTAGTACCTGTAATATTCTCATTTGGGTACTAATATGTTCACAGTAATGTATCTAGGATTTTAAAAGATATAATTCCTGTTTATGATTGCCTTTTTTTTTTTTTTTGTTTTTAATTTTTATAATTTAAGCAGTAGAAAGGCTGTATTTGAGGTGGTTGAGAGGGATAAGAAGAATTCTCCTTTCAAAAAATACACCCCTTTATAATTTCTTGTCTTAAAACCAAACAAAGAGAGATAGAGAGAGAGAAAAGATGGCTGAAGTAAATAGCATATTCAAATGAAACCAATTATACATGTTTAGAAATCAATAATAATATGTAACAAAACGACCTATTGAGGAGTACTTTAAAAGGGGAGGTGGGTGTCCGAGATATACAGGACTGGATGTATGTATATCTTACAGGGAAACAAGTGTATTGTGTATATAAAGGGCCAGAGAGTAAGAAGAAAACAAGGTATTGATTTGGTGTCTAACAAGAGAGCAATTTTACAAAAAGTTGATGATCATAAATCAAACATCATTATGATCTGAATTAGCTTCTTTGCTTTTCTTGATCTCCAAACTCACAGCTAATTGCTCTATTTTTTCTTGGTCATTAACAGACTCCTCATGAAGTTGGATTTGAACAGGATGAACTTCGGAGTTACCCAAAACGACAATGCTTTTCAAAGGTTCCGGCAGCTTCTTGTTGTCGTTTTGTCTGTAAATTGCATACAACACCATCTGTATCATCCCCAACATAAACCCCAACACATTCGGAATCTGCATGCCAGACAAATACGGTGTCGTTTAGTAAATTAATAATTGCTTAATTCAATATAATTCAATGTCTGTTTATATATATATATATATATCTATATATTCATTCTCTTACAGCCACGCAGATGTCTTTCTGTAGCAGACCGTATGAGAACCACATAATTGCACTCAATGTCAGAAAGAAGGATAGTGTAAAGGGCATGAATTCTACACTTTTTGTACGGACAACTTGAGCCTGAAAAAAATACCAAAAGTAATAAATTTTTAATCCCCTTTAATTTTTATCTTTTATAATTAATTATTTTATTAGCCACCCAGTAACTCCATGGTTAATTATTCATAATTAATTTAGTGAGAAGTCACGTGTTAAAATCGATTCATTTACAAAACTTATTATTTTTCTACAGTATTATGCAGTGAAGGTGGGCTCCAGGAAGGAAATTATATGGAACCCAACTTTATGTGAGTGAATAATAATAACAAAGTTGTCTTCTCCACTTATTAATCTTTTCTAATTTTTCTTCCAGGAAATGAGTGATAAGATTTTAACTCAGAATTCCAACATGTATAAACTTACCACAATGCTTAAGGGGGCTGCGAAGACGGCAACGGAAATGGCGACGCAAATCCAACCGAGAACTGGAATTCGGTGAGAAGGGTTGAGTAGGAATTGTGCCAAGAGAAGAATTGAAGAGAAAAGTAGGACATTGAGGGCAGCAAAAAGTTTCATGGCGGAGACCTGCAAAGTTTGTGTTAAGAATTTATTTAAGTTATAAAAAAAGAAAGAATTTATTAACATATATATAAATATGTGTGTGTATAAATATTTACATACCCTTTGGTGGTTGGGGGCATAGGTGATATACATAGTGATGTAAAAGGTTTCAATGACACATCCAAAGGAGTTAATGGTGATGAGAAGGAAGGTGTCATCGGGTTTTTGCAATGCATAGTAAAGCCACAGCATGGAGCTGAAAAGTGCTACTTGATAAGGTACTGATTGGAAGCTTTCCGTTGATTTTTTCTTGTAAATCCGATAAAAAGTCGGCCTGCACAATCAAATATCAAATCAAGTCAAGCTAATGGAATTCAATACAACATGTATAACACCATACACAATCGTATATTCATATATGTGTGTGTATGTATATATATATATATATATATATATATATATATATGTGTATAAACTCACACTGGAGCCAGGTAGACGCAGAAGGAGATCATGTTGCCTGCACATGCATCATAAACAAATATTCATATGAACCTTGCTTGCGCTAACTTAACAAAATTAGAACTAACTGCATGAACGCCCCTAATGCAATTCACACAAAATAATGATGATAATGACAATTGATGGGGAAGGTGAATCATCATTAATTTACTTCTGGACCACCCTCGATAGACATATATATATATATATATATTAAAGTAAAAAAATTAGTAAATTTCATTAAATAAATAGTAGAAAAAATCAATAAAACAACATAACCTTTTAACAAATAACATCATGTAATGTATACGTTGATGGGTAAACTTTATTATTGTAGAAAGATATGTAGATATACCTAAGATTCCGAATGCAATAGCGGATGGGTGATGGGAGGAGAGAATTGCCATGAGGGATGTTGATTGGAGAAAGAAGGAAGAAGAAGAAGAAGAAGAGTTTATAAGAGAAGGAAGAAAATTCCAGAGAAGTCTGAAACCTGAGTCTGCTGGTAATGACAGACATGTATTTATAGTAACAAAATTTAGAAGAGATGAATGTGCGTCTTGGAGTCATTCTACTTGCATGACAAGTGGAGCATTGGTAGGTGGCCTTTCCAAAATATCATTCACCTCAATTTCCTCCACGCGCCAGCATTTTTCTTTTAAAAATAATTTATAATAAACCAATATATATATATATATATATATGTATATATGTAATTACAATATTACTTTCCATTGTAAATAATGTTATACTTCTTACATGAATTTAAGTACCTTTTTTTTTTGTTGTACTATTTCATTTTATTCCTTTTTAGTTGTTATTTTACTATTTTATTTTTTTAATCATTTTACTTTCAAAAATTGTGCTCATTAGTTTCTTTCTATTATATTCTTAACATATTTAGTATGTGTCACCAAACTCTTAACAAATGGTTTCATTTGATTTTCTACTTTTCATACATTTTATGTTTAATATGTAATAAATAATTTAATTTTTAATTAAAAAATTTAAAAATTAAATTTTTAATTATTACATTTTTCATGACATAGCTCCATGCTTTTATAAAGTCATCATTTATATCTATAACAATAAATTGCTACATTTTTTAGCTCAAAACTGTAAAATTCATGTATCAAGATCTTTGATATGGTTGTCATGCGGAGTGCAAAATTTGATTTTACGGATAATACATAAAATCAATCTATCTACTATTTTTTCTTCAAATACAACTCATACTTTTAAATTTGATCTAATAAACTTTTATCACTAATATCGTGTCTAACACCATTAGACAGATATTCACATATAAGGATATGTGTTCATGTAGCTATTAAACTTAAAAAATATTTCTAGCATGACAACCATATGATTGTTTTTGTCATTTTTAATATGCTCTTTTGCAATCTATGTTTCTAAGTCTCACTAAGCTAGGTGATGGTGCTTAAATATGGCCAAATAACATTGGAGTCACATCGGTGCTGGAATTTTTTTTTCTAATTTTATATCTTCTTATTATCTTTTTATAAAATTTATGTCTAACTTATGACTTTTTGGAGATAGAAAAAATGAGAGCAAGAGAAAGTGTAACACCCAAGTGTTATTATTTTTATTTGTAATTATTTGAATTTTTTTTAAATTTTTAATTAATTTAATTTTATAAAAATAAAAATAATAAAAATGATAAAATTGAGTAAAAATATTATTTGGATTTAATTGAAATTGATTTTGGGAAAAATGGGTGAAAATTTGGATTCTGGGGATGTTTTTGAAAAGAAAATCGAAAACCGATGGTCAAAACGTAATTTAGAAAAATTGTGCTACGTCAGCACCCACCTCAGCAGCCACGTCAGCGGCCCGGTCAGCAGCCCCGACCACCCAAGACCTGCCGCGTGGCAAGGCAACGCTGACAAGGGAACGGGCCACTT